GAAATTTGCGATACAAATTGTGCGATGCATATCCTTTCAATTTTATATTACTATCTTTAGATGTCCATGATTCTAGAAGAAAAATAATATCATATTTAGATACTATTTTACAGAAGTCTTCGTCCTCCTGTTTCTCTTTAGTTAATCCATTACAATTCCATACGGCAATTGAAACTACACCTTCTTGTAATTCCTACGGTACCGTCCCATACGGACCATCTGTATACACTTTACCATCCACGATAAGTTTGTTATATTTGATATATGCTTCCTTTTTTGCCTCTCGAGCCCTTTTCATAATTGGAACATTTCCTTTGTGAAACAACTTCCGGCGGATATTGATCATGCATGAATAGTCCAGATTCTCTAGGAGTGGTTTAATGTTGCTTTTACTGTATAAATGTAAAACAAAAGTTAAACTGTATCATGTAAAATAAAGGCACCCTTTGAATTAAAATAGGTTTCCTGTTAAATCTGAAAGTAATCTGAAAGTAATCAATGTCAATCAAATTGTAATCATAATTACTGACTGAATATTAGCTGTAATTGATTAATTACAATTAAATTAATCAAATTTGGGCAAGGTAATCAATTATATGATGATTACAGTGTAATCATGTTATCGATTAAAAAATCAATGATTACAATTAATGATTACCCCAGGTCTGGTGTATTTTTTAAGTCCGTTTTGCACAATACCGTTTATTTAAAAAAAAAACCCAATGACGAAATCGTAAATACCACAAACGCAATCTTCATCACCATCATCATCATCAGCAGCATTATCATCATCATAACATCATCACAAGTGCATAATAAACAAATATTTCACCGAAATTTTAAAAGTGTATGATAAATAAAACTTCCCAGGTCACAATAACATAATGCTGACCAACGTTCATGTAAAATTTCATGACCTTAACTATAGTATTTATGGAGCAACACTAAAGATTCCGGGACAGACAGACGCACGTACTCAGGCACAGCCGCACGAACAAGTCAAACGTTTAAACACCCCCCCCCCCCCCTCAAAATGGGGGCATGAAAAGCCGATATTTTATCTTCGTGTCAATAAAATATTAAGGTCCAAAATATATATATAGTTTTATATCACTTTTTTATCAAATGAAAATTGTTTCTAAAAAGGTCTTATATCACTTTTTTTTAAAGAATTTAAGATCTTAGCTGTTTTTTGTTTAAGATATAACAAAGTGTAAAGAATTAAACTTCTTAGTTGTTTATGTTTAAAGTATTGTAACAAATTAAAGTTCTTATCTAATAGTTAAGTAATATTATCTATCAAACAACTACTCAGATGTGTAATTTATTTGATTTTACAGGACTGCTTATATAAGACTATGTAAAAATACCTTTCTGTGCTAGGTTTAATCTGATCTAACCTTTTAAATGTTTATTGTATATACTTGTAATATGTTTGTAACAACATACATGTAGTCTCTTATTATTCTTTATAAGAATGACCTTTTACATGTATTTAAAGTTTTACTGATTGTAATTTGTATTATATGTACATGTAATTTATGAGACTTTAATAAACAAATAAATTAAACTGTATGTTACGAACAACTCTTAAATTTTCAACTATATTCGAAGAAACTATGCATATTTGTGATTTATGATGTATATAATAACGGATAAAACTCTAAGATCTGTTTTATATATCTTATAATCTGTTAATTCTTTATTCTTTGTATTTTACAAAGGCTTTTTTCCTTTAAGGTATATAAAATATATAAGGAAGGTCAGTATACTCTTTCGTACATGGGGGTGCCAGATGAGTCGCGTGCTATACAATGGCTAGTTCTGGCTTCCAAAACTTTATAAGCCGCTATTTAACATTTTTGTTTTTCATCTGATGCGGCATTCACGTCATGTCACAGTATATAAACGGGTACGCTGAAGACCTTAAGCTATACAATGGCATGTTTAGGATGACGTTGTTTCGCCGTTGTGAATGAAGTTGTATTTTCATACGCTGCTGTACGAAAAAAAGGTCACGACTGTAATGATAATGATTTAATGGAAAATTGTTTTATTAAGGTCAAGAATCAAAAATATGATAGAATATGGTAGAATATGCAAGAAAAATTATTGGAATATCCGTCACTCAGGAACCCGCCAATGGGAAGGTCCCCTGGGATCGTATATTCTGATCCGAACCGCAACATATGACAGATAAAATTAATCTCAAATAACAACCCAAACTGTTGACAAAATAAAATATACGCTTTATATTTTTCGTTAAGCAACAATAATGTCTAAAACTTTAGCTTAGTGGGCTTTTGATTCGAAAGGTAGTGCGTTCTACTCTTAATTTATTTAACATAGTTTACAAATTATCTCTCATTCTTAAACCGAATGAATAGGAAAAAACGAACTAAGCGTACTTGACCGTGATGAGCTGAAATAAATAAATATTTGAATGTACACGTATTTTGCCCTTTGAACAGTGTACGGACGGATGTTTACCATGTTCTGTTCACTGACGATACTATCATCATGCAATTGACATGGTAATAAATCACATCGATTTTAAACTTATTCTGGCGAAGGTCTAGAAAATGATAGATCAGATTATTTTCCCTGAAAACTTCACAGTGGTGATTGGAAAAGCACGTGTCAAATCATTAAGAAATATTGGCGTCAACTTTGACGTCGCGTTTCTACGATTACGTCATTTACCACTATATTGAAAATGTCATGTCATTCAATAATTATCATGTTTCCTGTATCTGACTTCATGATCCAGTACAATTCCTTATTTAACGCAGCAGGATAAATTTTGTATCCTGTATCTGCCTTCAGGATATATTTCCTGTATTTACCGCAGGAGGCTCAAATACGACTTCTGTATATGACTGCAAGTCACAAATATTGTCTGTATTTGACTGTAAGATCCAATATAATTCCTGTATTGAACTCTCCAGGATTATTTATGTTTTCTGTATTTGACTTCAGGATCCAATACAATTCCTATTTTTATCGTTATAGGAACACTGATATTTTCTGTTTCTGACTGCAGGATCAAATATATTTCGTGTATATTTTTTTGCAGTAGGATCCAATACCTTTCCTGTATCTGAATGCAGGTTTACATGCATTTCTAGTATCTGACTGCAAGATCCAATATATTTTTTCTATATTGAACGCTGCAAGATTGCCTATATTTCCTGTATCTGTCTGCAGGATCTAATTTATATTCTGTAGTTACGTTGCATGATCATATACATTTCCAGTTTCTGTAGGATAGACCCGATACCAACATCAACTTAGTCCGAAGTACCCGATATAAAAATAAACTAAGGCCATAAACTAATAAAAACATACTCTAAGTCCGATATGAACATAAACAAAGTCCGATATGAACATACACTAGACACGATGGATACGATATTAACAAAAACTAAGTCCGATATCAAAATAAACTTAGTTCGATATAATATCATCAAAGGCTAAGTCCGATATCAACATAAACCAATTCCTAACCAACATAAACTGAACACGATGGACCCAATTTCAACATAAACTAAGTCCAATACCAAAATAACTAAGTCCAATATCAACATAGACTAAGTTCGTTATCAGGGTAGACCAATTCTGATATCAACATCAACTGAGATCGATATCAACATATATTAAGTCCGATATCAACATCAACTTAGTCAAATATCAACATAATCTTAGTCTAATATCATCATAAACTTATTTCGATATAAACTTTAAATAAGTCCAATATCAACATAAACTAAGTCCGATGGACCCGATATCAACATAAACTTAGTCCGATATCAAAATAAACCAAGTCCGAAGCAGCATAAACTAAACACGATGTACCCAATTTCAACATAAACCAAGTCCGAATCAGCATAAACGAAACCCGATGGACCCAATTTCAACATAAACATAAAGTCCAATATCAACATAAACTAAGTCCGATGGACCCGATATCAACATAAACTAAGTCCGATATCAAAATAAACCAAGTCCGAAGCAGCATAAACGAAACCCGATGGACCCAATTTCAACATAAACATAAAGTCCAATATCAACATAGACTAAGTCCGTTATCAACATCAGCTAAGTCCTATATCAAAATAAACTGAGTTCGATATATATCATCATTGAGTTAGTCCGATATCAACATAAACCAAGTCCGAATCAGCATAAACTAAACCCGATGGACCCAATTTCAACATAAACTAAGTCCAATATCAACAAAGACTAAGTCCGTTATCAACATAGACCAATTCCGATATCAACATCAACTAAGTTCTATATCAAAATAAACTGAGTCCGATATCAACATATATTAAGTCAGATATCAACATAAACTAAGTCCGATATCAGCATATATTAAGTCCAATATCAACATAGACTAAGTCCGTTATCAACATAGACCAAATGCTATTTATTTATTACAGATATTTACCCCTTCAACTCTTATATAGTAAAGATCTCCGGCCATCATCTATAAAATAAAATCTGGAAAAAGGTAGATCCATCGGAAGCATGATAAAAGTAGCATCTACCCATTCTTCTTGCATGTTTTACTTATTGCAACGTTCTTCCCAGATCAAAGGAGATCCTACACAAATGATTTATGTTTTGAGGATTTGCTATTTATAAATATGTTTTTTTACTTGTGACATGCGATTCTATGCTACTGGGTGACCACAATTGCACAATGATCTAAATATTGTCATAATGGCTTCAAAGGACTTAATTTTTCTATGATATACATGTACAATACATTGTGTCACATTCGATTATTTCTAACATAAGACATTTTTGCAATTTATTTCATTCTTTGTACATGAAAAGTTGAAAAAGTATATCTAATGATAGTAAATATGTCCTGCGCGTAATCAACCAATCCGCTTTGACTGTCATATTTCTAAGCTTCATCACTCTAAAGTATGCATATTGTTCGATCGAACGTTGCTTAAGCAATAAGGAGGTTTTTTATACACACGGAGATTTTATACACTAAAATGACATACTTGTGCTAGTAACATATATACTTTTTTGCAGTTTGTAAAATTATTCACCCAATCAACAGAGGAACAAACTATGCGTAAAAAGAAAAAAAGTTTCGTGTTAAATGGCGATAGAGGTAAGTTTTTTACTACAATCATTTTTAATTTTTTTCTTAAATAAGAAACCTGTTCACTGGGACAAATCAATAATTATGTGGTTTATTTACTTTCAATGCCGCGTAAACTTTTCAACCCAATTTCTCCCATTTATGACCCCTCACCCCTTTTGCTCATCCTTATAGCCATTTTACTATTTCACACAGAACGTGTCCCTTTCCTCCTTTCGCCACCCTTCTGCCTACTCCCGGTTTTGGTTTGGTGTCTTCGAGGCTGCGTCCTGTGAACGTTGCCTTTGCCTTGTTCTCGTTTTCTATGCACAGCGATATATTAAGGTATTAGATGCCTAATGATGTATCTCCTTTCTGAAAAGGGTGGGTTCGAACCCCAGAAGATGCATTCTTTTTTTCGATTTTTGCCTTTTTATGTTTTGTTAGATTATGATTTTCTTTCTTAATTTATATGTAAAATTTGTAATTAAATAAACATTGAAGTTTTATGTATAACTTTTACTGTGAAATATGTGAAATTTGATAGCATAACCAATTAAAATGATTATAATTTAAAATCAGCATGGTAAACTTTCTTTATATTTTGCACAAATGTTTAAAATAGTTTCTAGAAAATCATTATTAAAATCATTTAATGCCTTGATTACATTTGACAAAATATGACGGCTTTTTTACCCAACCTTCTAATTTGATATAAAATTTTAGGTATCTGTCACAATAAACAAAAAAAAATAATTTTTATATGCATTTTACATTGATTTATTTGTAGTAATTCAAAAACTATAGTTCTTTATTATCACTTTTCAAGTAAGGAAAATATTAAATAAATGAAACCATTCTACAGATATAAAAACATAATTGTTGTTGTATAGACCTGATACAAAAGTTGAACTTTGATTGTCAATATTGTCAAATAGGATGGTATAATTTTTTTTATTTATGTCCAGAATAAAGTAAAATTCAATAACATAAAGTTACCACACTTAAGTGAAATTTTATATATGTATAAATTTATGCTTCTAGAACAATTTTCAAACATCGAACAATATGTAAAATATGTACTGCATACAGTTGTCCACATTATATGTAATCATTAAAATATATGCATTTATTTCATATTGAAAAATTTGACTTAGACTTTATTGAAAATGAATTTCTAATTACCTCTCTTTATTGACATGAACTGTACATTTGGTAATATCTTTACAAATAATGCTTTTTGAAACTAACAATATTGATAAATTTTCACTTGAGCATAATATTTATGATATTTAACCATAAAAAGTTGAGTTACAGGATCTTTAAACGCCTTTTGAAAAAGTCTCAACTATACATCTAATACCTTAAACGCAATGATGTAAAATTCATTTGAGGTTAAATAAGTCATGATCGAGATACAGTAATTATTAAATTATTCAAATATCAGTCTGTCCATAGCTTTATATACTTTATATGCCACGTCAATTTCAAGACTAAAGATTTAAACATACACAAGACATATGGAATAAGAGCTTTAGGTTATGAAAAAAACAAGTCTACATCAATAAATAAACTTCGAGGCATGGCCATTTTAGCCAAATTAAACCAAATTCATTATAAGGTTATATCTACCAAAGCTCTAGTTTTGGGAAAGGATATTCAAATTTGCTCTCAGATGTAAATCTATGTAAAATACGGTGGAGCCATGTTCAACCCTGGTGACAAATCTTATGTATACAACGTTTTCAGAAATCCACAACGTTATAAAAGTGCTGAACATTTAAGTTAAAAGCCATGCAGTTTTACACATGACTTTCCAATTTGTTATTCTATGTAAGTTTATGTCATAAAAGTGGCTCAAATTACTCGTTTTCTACAATGCCTTAATAAATACATCTTCTCCTTAGCCGCATTTTAGATTGTGACCAAACTTCACAGGAATGGTACCGGTACTCTATCAAAGAAAAAGAAAATCAAGTATTTTACACATATATGCCACAGGAGCTCAAAAGGACCTTAAAATTAAATACTTTACTAAGGTATTACAATTTTTAAGATCATGTAACACTAAGATATTCTACTTCATGTGTACTTAGGTATTACAATACCAAGGGCTAAGATATGAAACAACCTCGGACATAAGCTCGTACTTAAATAAATAATGATATAAATCATACCCCTGGGATGAATATAGGCCTCTACTTGTGGCCACTTAGATGATATGAACAAATATAGGAACAGGCTCTAAGCCTTTTTAAGTGTGTGAAGTTTTAACTGGAGACCTCTACAGAAAAAAACCATGCTCCTAGTTTTAAAATTGACACGCCCTAGGGTTCTCTTCGTTCATACATAGATTTAATGGTAAATTTATCGTAAGATTTTTTCTACCGAAGCTAAAATGCTCATAACAAAGATATTTGGCACAGATCATTACCTTGTGATCCTACACAAAAGGAAAATTTGTATAGTCTATGCCACTAGGATAAAAATAACGCTGTTCTACTGGTAATTTAATTTAAATGAATCTATATATGAGACAACACCCAATACTTGAGTGAACTACAATGCTTTGATTTTATTTTTTAAATAAATCTTGCTCCGAAGTCAAAACTTGCCAGCTCGGAGGTCACTTAGTTTATATAGATATATATATACGAGAAAACATAGGCATAGAAATATTGGCAAAGATATTTGACTTGCCGGTCCGATCCTGTAGGTCGCTTATCTTATTCAGACTAATACTAGTAAAGTAAACATGTTTGAAGATCCTCTTTAGCCCAGATCATAAAATAGATAATAATTAAATATTTGGCCCATTTGCACCGATTTGTGTACTAAAGATATATAAATCATGCCCAAAAAATAAAAATTTGGGTAATCATATAATAGAGGCATTCATGTATGGAGGTACAATGCCTATAAAAAAAATTATAAATCACACAGCAGCTTGGGGTTATGAATGACTCACGCAATGTGAACACTTATGGTAGGAGTGTACACGGATGTAAATATACAAGTACATCACGTTACAAATCATTTTGCCTTTGCATGATTTTACTTTTAGTGTTACATCCAAGTAGTAAGTATTTAAGAGCTTTAACTTTAGGCCTTAAATAGAAAAGTGTTTGTTTTCCCTGCCACTATCTGCCCATATAAGAACAACTTCAACAATAAAGCAAAACAACAAAAACATTCAAAAATATATTGCCAACCAAATGTTGTTTTTTTTAATGTCATCGTGCACATTCTGTAACGCATGAATGTAAAAACAACGCATGAGATGTGAAAGTTTGGTCGAATTGTGCAAATTTTTTAATGAAAAGAGCAACAGAAAAATATACTTTAAAGTAAAATAAGTCGGAAGTTAATTAGTGCATATGGCTATTAAGACCTCAAAGTTTAAGTTTGATCACAAATATTTACAGGAAAGTGTTATATTTTCTCGATCATTTATGAGAATACGTAACACTTATGATATTCTACTTTTCTTCGACATTTGTCTTATGTCAGAAATATGCGTGATTATTGCGAAACGATAATGTCACATACATTGTACAATAAAATAATAAAACGTTAGCTAATTTTTGTTTACTAGTATTCGGAGTCCACAACAGTTCATTACAGAAATCAAAACTTTTCAGCCTTCCCGTCAGTCTTCGGATAAGGACCTCGAACACAATAATAAGAATACACAGAACAGATACGGTATTTCAGTCTAACCTACGCACTAGATATTAAGCATGTCAAAAAAGTAATTTGATGCTAGGAGTTGTAGACAGTTTTTTTTTCCAATATATTAAGTAAAAGTCATCCTTTAATAAGTGAATTCATAGATATAAAAGAAAATAACAGGTGACATTGATCCACTTGTTTTGTGTGTGTGTGTGTGTGTGTGTGTGTGTGCGTGTGCGTGTGCGTGTGCGTGTGCGTGTTGTCTTACAGACTGATGGTTTGCATATTTGGAATGAAGATATCCTGGATGATTCAGTGTTGGGAGTCTGTTTTATACAGGCTTGTTTTTTTACCAATGTCTCATATTTACAAGGAATTTAATAGTGGTCCCTAATGTCTTCCATTATAAATATTTGATAAAGTTTTCAACTTCATCACAAGTCATAGCAATATCCTGCAAAAGTTTTTATGTTATATAACTGTGTTTACAATTTGTTGGCAATTTTCTGTCCATAACTGAGTGAATAGGTAAACCTTCCTTGAAAAATTGTTACTGACAAGAATCTGAGCCGAAAGCATTTTTGATCTGATCCATGGGGTGGTCTGATGGATGTACTTGTGAGTTTGAACAGCGATCTTTGCCGAAAAATACCAGTATTTACAAGACAAATTATGGTTCATCTGCCTTCAATTCAAGGGTAACTTTTCTAAACACGTCTTATGGCCAGCTCCCGGCCTGCATTCCACATTGTCAATGAACAGTTTTGTTATAATGAATTGGGCGATTGTACCGGCCTTCTTTGCCGCCTCTGCTTCCAGGTAAAGCAGTCTTCTGGCCTCATGCATTGCTGTAGGTAGCTGCATCCCATTCCTCAAATAGCTTAATCAATTGTGATTCTACACATTTAAAGTTGGTGCTGAAACTTTTCATGTCATTCTGTCTTCAGACATGTATATTCACATCATTTTCAATTTCCGTGAGCCGAGCAGCTAAATATTTCATTTTAGATTTCATGTCCATCATTTTGGCATTGATAGATGTCATGAATTTCTCGATTTATCAAATCAATAAGTAGCTTTTCTTATATGATAAAAACGTCGTTTATAAGCTAGGTAGCCAACTGTTGCGTGTAAGAAGCAAACACGGCGTTTGGCGTTGGAAACCCATACCTAATTTATGACAGCGGGCAAGGATATGTGGGCTGAATTATTCCATAAGGATCGCCGGAGAAAGACATAGTCTAATCATTTAATTGTCTTCTTACAGTTTGTGTTTCTGCATTACCACTCATGTGCTTACTTTTTTCGCTTAGCTTTATTCCGTTGCGTTCTGATATAAAAAAAAATATTACCACTGT